AAGAGTCGGACATGACTGAGCGACTTCACTTTCACTTTTCACTTTTATGCATTGGAGAAGGAAATGGCAACCCACTCCAGTGTTCTTGCCTGGAGAATCCCAGGGATGGGGTTGCACAGAGTCGGACACGACTGAAGTGACTTAGCAGTAGCAGCAGATCTATTGGTGGCAGTCAAGTTATAAAGAGGTTGTAAGATCCACATTTAGATTGCACTGAACTAGATGAGGAAGGGGCATGTCCATGCCATGTTGTTGCTCTGGATGCAGTAGCTGCATGTGACTGGCAGTTGTCCATAGATTGTGAGGTGTGGGCATTTTGGAATTGTAGATATGGGGGAAATGGCATATGTGTTTATGGGGCAGTCAAAAGGAGGACTGTATGTAAACATCTATTTTGTCTCCCCTATGCCCCTTTGCTACCCTTTTCTCTACCTTACTCCCATGGTTGCATCAGGAGCCATTGTTTATGTACTTTCCCCGAGAATTTGGGATTGAGCTGGAGGAGGAAAGATGAAAACTCCTGGCTGCATTTCAGCATCTGATTTATTTGTTCTTAAGGGCCATCTTTATTATCCTTGTGTTTTGTGAGATACTACCACCAACTTTATAATAAATTCCTCTTTTTGTTTAAGCTTGTTCAAATTGGGTTTCTGTTACTTAAAAACACGAAACATATATATCACAAGAGAAACTTTATACTAAACATAGGGCATACAGAGGGTAGAGTAAACAGAGGCCAAAGCCTTGAAAGTAGAAAGGGACAGTGAATGTTACAGAACAGTGGTTAAAGTGTGTGCTTTGGAGCCGAGATCTGGGCTCCAAAACCTATTCAACCCCTTACCTGCTACATAACAAGTTATTTAACCTTTTGAGCCCTTAATGTATCTGTGAAACATAGACTCATTAAGTTTTCATCAGATTTATTTGGTACCTACTATGTGCCAGGAATAATGCTTTGGTTAAGTTGGTGTTAGTCGCTCAGTCATGTCTGACTCTTTGTGACGCCTGGACTTTAGCTCACCAGGCTCTTCTGTCCATGGAATTCTCCAGGCAAGAATACTTAAGTCAGTTGCCATTTCCTTCTCCAGGGGATCTTCCCGACCCAGGGATTGAACCTGGGTCTCCCACACTGTAGGCAGATTCTTTACCATCTGAGCCACAAGGCAAGCCCACTATGTGCCAGGAATAACATTAGGCTGGGAGTAAAGAGTTCTCAAGACAGTCAAGGAGCTCAGAAGCTTGTGAAGATTAAATGATATATTAAAGTGTTTGGCACAGTAAGCACCTAACAAATCTTAATTATTAAAGTGAAAGGTAGAGAGAAGCATAAAGAGGTTGCATGAAGAGTTCACATTGTATTAAATCTTGTCTTCCATCTAAGTAATTAACTAGCTGTTTAGTTTCTGTTAAGGCCCCACTTAGCTTTCTTTATTGCCCAAATCTGTGGGGGCTGTTTGAGAGGCCGTAAGCTTATAATGGTAATAGGAAATAATTCATTAGAAGGTCTAATGAGGCTGCTATATTGCTTCTGTTTCTTAAACCAGCAATAATAGCAGGGAGGTCATTTGATTAGTAAAGAAAACAATGACTGTGGTTCTCAACCCTAGTTAGGTTAATATGATATTAATATATTATCTGGGGAGCTTTTTAAAACAATACTAATTAGAGGGATGGGGCCCAGACACTATTTTTATTTTACATTGTGGTAAAATATATATAACACAAAATTTACCATCTTAACCATTTTTTAATAAATTAATTTATTGCTCTTCATTGGAGGCTAATTACTTCACAATATTGTAGTGGTTTTTGCCATACAGTTCAGTAGTGTTATATTCACTTTGTTGTGCAACCAAGGCACTAATTTTTAAAAATACCTCCCTGGGTGACTTTAATATGCAAACAGAGATAAGAACCTCTGAGCTGGAATGGAGAAATCTTACAAATACTGGTTAAATTCCTGAGTCTACTTCCTCATTTGTAACATGCATGTGAGCTAGTCTTCATCTATTTATCCCAAAGTCTTCTTCCTATTCAGACTATCATCTATGCTGTATTTCATTTCTGTCTTGAGCTCCTGTCTTAAGACCCACCTTCTCAATTTCCTCAACTCCTACAACTTGAGCTCCTCCTAAATTCTTTAGTCACAGACTTAATTATGTCATCTCATTCTTTTATATAATGCTCATTAATGATGGCACATTTTAAATGGGTTTTATGGTGTTTTATCATCCAACTTAAATATTTTCATCTCTGAAACTCACTTTACATCATCTATCATTGCAGCCAATACTCAGTCTTTCCCCAGCAGACTTGCTGTTGATTTGCAGATTGGGTTCAGCTTTGTTACATCTTTATGACTGTTTCCTCTTCTCTTTAGTGATATGTAAGGTCCCTTCAGGAGTTGTTACTGTTATTTGAGCAAACCAGGCACAGTGCTAAGGCCTTTATGTTTTTTTTTTTTTTACTTAGTCTCAAAATACCACCACTGAGGTATTTTTACAGATAAGGAAATTGAAGCTAATAAGTTAAGTATTTTTCGTAAGTTCACAAAGCTAGAATACAAATCCAGGTCTGCTGGACTCCAAAAGGCATCTGTATTAACTATAATCCAAACCAGGGCCCATTTCTAAACCAGCCTGATTTCCCAAGTGCAAGTTTGTTGTGAAAGTCACTAGCGTTGTCTAACAATAAGCACACTTAGCAAATTTGGGACATATCTCATTTAATAGTCAAAACCACTTCATTTTACAAATGAGAAAACAGAAGTTTCAGAGGTCTGTAGATCAAAAAACCTGTGCTTGTTCCACTGTGTATCCTCCCTTTGTTGTTGTTTAGTTGCTAAGTTGTGCTGACTCTTTTGTGACCCTAGGGACTGTGGCCTGCCATGCTCCTCTGTCCATGGGATTTCCCAAGCAAGAATACTGGAGTGGGTTGCCATTTCCTTTCTCCAGATCTTCCCTTTAGGGATCACCTAAGAGAGAATACCTTGGAGTCACTGAATCATTAAATCAAGGTAATAGATTTTTTAAAACATTTTAAGAATCTTCATCTAATCTTGAATATTTCTGATAGACCCCTTATTCTGCCTCCAGGGCTATTTGCATAAATATATATATGAGTCTTCTACCTAAATTATCAAATGAACAAGGGATCTGACCTCATTTGACAGTTTCCCAAGTCACTGTAGTGTGGTAAATGAAAGATGTGCAAGAGAGATTTCCAAATGCACTTTTTTTTCCCTGAAAGTGGACCATAAACACTATCAGTACAAATGGAAATACCCCAGCATAAGTTTGTGCAAAGAGCACATTTTGAATCATTGCTTGTATCATAAACATATACGTCTAATCCTGAAATTATAAAACAAGCACTGGATATAACCTCATGTAAGACATATGAAGGACTTTCCTGGTGGCGCAGTGGATAAGAATCCTCCTGCCAATACAGGGGACACAGGTTCGATCCCTGGTCCAGGAAGATTCCACATGTCACAGAGCAACTAAGTCCGTGTACCACAGCTAGAGAGTAGCCCCTACACACCACTGCTAGAGAAAGCCCGAACACAGCAATGAAGATCTAGTACAGCCAAAATTAAAATAAATAAAAACAAGAAAGATATATGAAGAGAATATATACTAATCATAATGATTAGTTGAAAAGTTAGTCTAAATGTATTTTGATTGCTATTACAGTATATCTGAGAGTCAGTATGAAAGTCAAAGTATTAATCACTCATTCATATCTGACTCTTCACAGCCCTATGGACTATAGCCCACCAGGCTCCTCTGTCCATGGAATTCTCCAGGCAAGAATACTGGAGTGGGTACCCATTCCCTTCTCCAGCGAATCCTCCCAACCCAGGGATCGAACCAGGGTCTCCTGCATGGCCTGGGGTTTTTCCCATGACCTTTGGAGTCAGACCTGGGTTTGCATCCAGGCTTCATCATTTACTAGCTATTGTGCCTTGGTAAATTATATAATCTCTCTGACCTTCAAATTTTCTCTGTTGAGACAGTAACAGATCTTGCTTATAGGATTGTTTTGTGAATTAAAAAATATCACAAGCCTGACTAACACAGTTAGGTATTCAGTAAATCATAGTGACTGTTACAATTATGGCTCATTGACAAATCAGGGGAATAGGTCCAACTCCAAAATTTGTTGGAGCTATAAATCAAGAGGTAACATACAGGTTGGTTAGTTTGTCCAGCCAATATAACTACAGGATTAAAGTTTTAAAATCTGTTAAGTTAGATTTCGTAAATGAAGAACCAGCTTAAGCCAGGTGATTGCAGTGACTATGACAGTATTTTAATAAGATAATATACTCATTTTAACACAGCCTTTATTTTCTGTTTCAAAACAAAATTTCCAGGAAACAAAATACTTAACAATGGTTGGGTACAAATGAAATAAAAATCACAGTTTCAAAGAACCAAAATCTAGACAACTGCTTAAAGGCAGATCGCTTAGGTTTATAAAAAAAAATAATAAAAGTTAATGTCAAGAAGGATTAAAATTAGTTTTAACAACATTCCATATAATGCTACATTCCCCAATTAAGAAAGGAGAGTTGACATATACAACTAAAGGTTAAGTGTAGAGAAGTGGCTAAAATTCTGCATACTTTATAGTAAATTATGCATGAAAGTTTATTAATTGCATAAACTTCCTGAGTGGCTCCCATGCTGTACTAGGTCTACATGCTTAATATTCATATCAAACAAATTACAGCTTTAAGTGATTGAGCATGACAGACCTTGAACAACTGCACTTTCCAATCAATCACTATTTCTGCTGAGGGTATGTTTTGGACCACAAACTTCAATCTGAAATCTTACAATGGAGAAGAAATGCAACTTAAAAACAAAAATGGGAAGGATGACAAGCATGAATTTAGGAATTTTATTTTTCAATGACACTGTTTTCTTTCTCAAGAGCCCAGTTTCTCTCTTCCCTTCTTGCTTGACTTTTAGCCTTTTTGCTTGAGGTTTTTTTAATAAAAAAAAAATCTTCCAGAATGGGAGCTGTTGGTTTATATAATCTTCCAGCTATCTCAGTTGAAAATACCTTCAGTGTAACCTAGTTACTATCCCAGGCCTATGCCTATGTTGGCTGTCAAGGTTTCTGACCAATGTTTGTGTTCATCCTTCACATACAAAGACTATTTCCATGGTGACCTGAAAGCATTTCAGAAACATTTCATACTAATTTCACTTCGAAGGATTTTACCAAGTTTGAGTGTCACCATTTTATAGTCTGAACTACTTGTGGGATTTTTATTTCAATCTCAGAAATTACACTTAAACAAATCAATGACCTTTTCTATGCTCCATTCCCTGATTGGGTCATCTTTTAAATAAAAGGGGAAAAAACAAGTCCCCAGGAAACTACTTTCATCAAACTTTCATCCAGGATGAAAAATGAACAATCTATTCTAGAAATAATGGCCTGCACAACACCTCAGATATCTCAATATTCTAAACCAAACAGAAGATTAAATAACTGAATCCCAAACTGATGGCAAGGATACTTCAGGAATGTACTTGTAGATGAAGCCAGAAATACAATATTAGTACTAACATTAAATGTGCTTTAGTGTTACACACAGTAAACAAGGGAAACAACTTGTGGTTTACAAACATTTGCTCAGTTTTCTGGGGGGAAAAAGGAATGCATCATTTTCATCACTCAGAGAAGACAGCAAAGGGGAAAGTCAATGCCTCTGATAAATGTTAGAGATTGGATGAACAGTTACAATTAACTACAATTCAATTAAAAGCATACAGCCATTTTAAGGTAATAAAATATCACTACAAATACTTAGTTGTATGCTAGTATGCTGAATGACAGGCCACTGCTCTAAGATTTATCAAATATCTCATTGTGATAGTTAAAGCAATTTCAACCCATAGCCCTTTAGGCACACAGACAAGAAATGCATCTCTAATAAAAGATGCGAAGTTACAGGCACTGGACTGTCTAATTTAGGTACTTTCTTACCATTTGTTTGTTTACAGCTAACTTCTACCACTAAGTCCTATATTGCCACCAGCTGGATTTATTTCTCTGTTCTCCATCCCTACATCCCCAAAGCTTATTTCAGAAGCACGTGGCTCTCATCACTTAAAACATAGATTGGTGGCAGAGTGATGGTCCCTCTCATTTCAAACTCACAGCACTGGGACAAGAAGGCAGGCCAGATTTATAACCTGAAAGAATACTTAGAATCAAGGCAAAAAAACAAGTTTCACAGGCAGTGTTTTCATGTGTACCCCAAAACAGCTTTGAAAGAGGTAGATAAATAATTGTAATTGGATTGGGATTAAATATGGGGTTCTAAAATGATATAGCCCATCATATTATACATAACACTCCACACTCAATCCAAAAATCGCAGCAGAAAAGTGCCTTTTAAACTTTCACAGATAATTTTGCTGTCAAACCATTGGAATTCATGCTGGATATAAAACTGGCAAGAAAAGATGAAAAATGAAGTGGATATTTGTTAACTACAGCAAATTGCCTTAAATAGAGATTCAAGACTGGTACAAATACATAGGGTTATTTTCATTAGATTTACACCAATACTGGTTTCATATTCTTATGATGTTACACCCAACTTCACAAACATAGCAGCAGGTACTTCATGATGAAATGCTCACATTGCCACATATGGAGATACAGTACTATTCATCAGACTTGCACTTTGAGAAGTAAATGTGATGGTTGGACATACTGACTACCCTCAAGAAAGCTTTACAAGCAGGATTGTTTAGTGTAATCCTTTTTCTTCTACAAGAAGGAAAATGGAAAGGACAGGTTTTGGTGTGTGTTGGAAATGGGAAGAAGGCCCTTCTTTATAGTAGGCTCTTTGTTAAGTAAGAAGGGAATGTCTGAGCTTTACCTCAAGAGTTAATTATTTCTGGGTAGGAAAAGTACCTCAGCAAGGATGAAAACAGCACTATCATGATTTATCAAAATTATGAAATAATGCAAAACCCCTAGATAGAAAACTAGCTAATATTTACAGTCAAAGTGACTATAATCTGAGTCAAACATTTAAGTAATGGGAAAAAATAACTTAAAAACCCACAGTGATGTGAATAACACTGTTTTCTTCATTTCTGCACACTCACTTTTTTCTGTATTTTTAAACTTACACACGTTACATATACATAATGTATACATAACATATATGTTAACCCAACTACTGCAGTCAGCATGGAGACAGCAGTACACTATTCACCATCTTCAAACTTTAGAAGACTACTTTTCTTTCCAGCAAAAAATCTGAAAAGATTCTAAATATTACAAGGCACTGCAAAAGTCTGCAGGCAAAATAATGATGAATTGTACATAAAACAGAGGTGGTGGCAAAATGTGGGACATATGATATAGAGCAGCCATTAATAAATGTCATCCATGGAGCTTTTTTCATCCTGGGGTACACTATTAAAGGATTGTAACTCCAAAAAGGATCATAAAACCTGCAGTATTTTCAGCTTATAAATTGTAAGTCTCAATGTAATCACACAAAGCTGACTCTACTAATGAAACACAAGCAGTTTGAAAGAATTACAGATTTTAGGCACATTGTTTTTTGTACACATGGAAAACTGCAATGCGAGAATTTGCATTACACTAATGTCCTAAAACCATTTCAACTTGCAAATAATACTGTAGAAGAAATTTGAAGAATCTGTACATAAGATTTAGAAAGACTCATCCAAACCAGAGTATGTTTTATAAAAAGAAGCTGTGACTCTTATCAACAGCAGTTCTCAAAATGCTGTCCTGGATGCCCCAAAATGATAGTGACAGAATCTTCATGATGCTGAGTGTGATCCTCAGGTAAGCAACAGAAGACACTTTTTTTTTGGAAAAAGGGTGTTGAATGTCACAAAGTAGAGTGTGCAAAAAAAAAAAGTACACCCATTAAGTTTTCCTCATTACCTGGCAAGATCATGGGGTAAGATTTTTAGAGGAATATGGAGGAAAATCTGTCAACAGAAATGTTGGGTGATCATTTGGAATGTTGACCAATAGAACTCATTATTAGGTAAGTGTGTCCTAGAAATGACTTTGAAATCTTCAGAGTAAAAAGTATTTTAAACATGTTTATATGTGGTAGTTGATAAATACTGTTTTAGAATTCAATATTTGGGTTTCACAGATTGATCAAGCATTAGGTAACTTTGTGACCAGACTTTTAAGAATATTAGTTAACTTTCTTGAAAACCAAAAACGTATATTCTGACATTGCCTCCTCTCCTCCTAAAACTGGATAAAACCCAGTAAAGTGCAACTTGACAGTGATCTCTCTCAGATTCTAAAGAGGCTGCCAAAATCATCTAAGATCTAAAATCATCTAAGATGCTACAGATACTAACAAGAAAACTATAACAACTAAAAAAAAGGTAATCCCCCCCCAAAAAAAAAAGTTAAGGGCAACTTAAATAGTATCCTTCGAGGGTCTACTATCTACTGCAGGACAGTGTATACCCCTCATCTCTTAGAACCCTGTAAAGCCAGTGTTTCATGTGTAAGTCTCAAAACCTACTGTATCAAGTAAATTTCTCTTCAGAAGAATGGATTAATAGAGGTGTAACTTGAATAGTCTTTGTTAGGAATACAAAGATTCCCCCCAAATGAGATTCATATCAGCTGCAGTATATCCCTTGCAGAAGAATGCAAGCCAAACCAATGCCTCTCATGCTCAAATACAATGTAGTGTGCACATGAGAAACAAAGAGATAGCTGCTTTGAATTACTATGGAAATCCTAAAGCAGCTACATTATCTGCAGAATCAAGGAACTGTTACAGTTCTGTTTTTTCCTTCTTCTCCGCCTCACCTAAAACAAGGCTTCACTCCTACTGCTGTGATGACGGGAAGAAAATCACATTAAAAAGGGCTCATGTTTTATATTGGTTGACAGTTATTCTAATTTTATACACCAAAACATTTCCTGCAGCAAGTTACCCTGCCTTCTCTGAAAGATAAACCTAAGATAAACAACATGAAGAATCTCATAAGACCCTGCTGGAGAGTCTCACTTTGTCTATGTTTGGGGAATATAAATTTAAATAGTTCTTATACCTTTTAAAGAAAAGTATCAAAAAAAAAAAAAAAAAGAAAAGTATCATCTAGCTGCAGAGAACTGCAATTTTAAAAAATGAGGGCTTCTCAGCAATGCATGGAAAGTGTCCTGGAAATGATAATGCTCAAGCTGAGCATATTAAAGCATTCTGAACGGTATTTTTTAAAAAATCAAGTATCAAAGAGGATAGGATTTGAAGTGAAAAAACATTTCTATGTGCAGTGTTCTATATACAAACTGCACAGTTCTACAGGTGATGAGCTATATCAAATACTACACTGGAACAAAAAATAATAGTGGAAAGTAAACTCAAAATGAAGGAAAATATGGCAGAACCCAAGAAGAAGAAAGTTTAATACCTTAGGTATCCTGAAAATAATTCTGAAAAAAACTCCCTTTTCTTCATTATCTACTCTGATTTACTTGGGACCAGGAGGGATTGTGGACGGATTCTGCACTGCTGAAGCTGGAAATGCCTGCAAATTCATCCCTGGTTGGAACGGTCCCCCAGGTTGGTTAGGAATTACTAGAGACTGTTGTGGTGCTCCTGAAATTCCTACCCACTGTACTGGATACCCTGGCCCCACCACAGCATTATACTGACAAACATGGGGTATTCCATATGATGATAATGGCCCAGGAAATGAAGGAAGTGACAGTCCTTGTGGCAAGGAGGTTGGGACAGCTCCACGGATTTGGGACAGAGAAGAAATCCATGTTGGTGTGTAGCCCATAGTAGATGGAGTATTCTAACAAAAATAAAAACAAAAACAAAAGATCAGTTTATTTGATAGATGCTTTTACTCTATATTCCTATTCTTTTTTGTCTTACTACTACTCTCTCATTATTATTCTGAGCATCTACCATTTTGGGAATAACTTTCTGTGTGCTCATAGTTATATACCTATTTCATTTCATCTTCATAACTGCCCTGCAAGACAAGCATTTTTAGATGAGGAAACAGAAGCTAAAAATTAATAATGCCCATCACCACTTAGCAAATTAACAGTAAGGTAAGGATTTAAACACAGTTCCAGATAACTCCAAGGCCCCTGGTAAATTTCTGTTCACAGTTCAATGTCTCCTTTCCTCATACGAGCACTACTCTTCTATTTTTACTTCCTTCTGCCAGTCCCAGACATTCTTTCATTCAGGGCCACAGACAGTAATAGTTCATCTTACTACATAATTCTCTGAAGACAGAGGATCATAATTTAGTGTGGCATAGGGGAAACAGCCTGGCATATAGTAGGTGCTCAATAAATGTCACCTCCCTACCTCCTACTACTCACTATTTGAAGTCTGATATTTCTGTTATATTTGGGGAAATTTAAACTCAAGACAATTATGTTTTTGACAGTTCTGAGAAAATATATTCCTGATTGATTCCTATTATATTATGATTATGTGTATGTATAGAGATTACTAAAGTCAACTGAGCACACACATAGAGATTACTGAAATCATATGCACATGAGAATAATATGTCTAAATAAAAGTAAATAATTCTTCCTTAAGGGAGAGCTTGGTATCAGTCCCAAATTCTTAGTTCTTTTAAATTGATGGTCAAGTTAAAACCCTTTCAACTAAAGTTTCAAGTTTAATTAAGGATAAAGGTTTTCTTGCTTGACTCAAGAATGAATGACAAAATCTCCTGAGGGGAAAAAAGAACTCTTATTTAAAGTCCAGCAATCCCATTTTCATATCAGTGTTTTTGTTGTTAAAGTAAAATTAAATACTTCTGGTTTTAAAATAGCTCATATAGTATGATCACATGTTTGTAAAGCTATTTCTGTGTATCCATATATAGACATACAAAGATATCTGAAATGATATTTATCTAAAGTTAGTGACAATCATTTCTGAGTGGTGGAATTTTAAAATTTTGTACTTTTCTGCATTGATTAACTTCTATAACACACACTATTATTTTACAAACAATACCAATGTGATTTTTATTTTGAACAAAGACTGAATTGGAGATGACTTGTTATACTTAATTTTCTCTTGGATATTTAAAAGGCATCTCAGATTCAAATAACCACAATCAAATGTATGATTTTTCTACTACCAAAGCACACTGCCTGCTCATGTTCCCCTTCTTGATGATTGGTACACTGGAATGATAGCCAGTTATACCAGCCAGAAACCTACCCTTGACACCTCCATCTGGTCCATTTTATCTCTTAAACATTTTTTGGAATCTGTTCATTTCTTTTCATCTCAGCTTATCTCTCTTTTTTAAAAAAATAAAATAGTTAAAAAGTTCAACTTCTCTTTATCAGGCCTACTATGACGAATTCTTGATTGGTCTACCAAGCTTATCTTCAATAATCTTTCTTCTTGCTTCAAGTCAGACTGATCTTTTCAAAAAGCAAATCTGATCACGTCAACCCTAGGGCTTCAGTGGCTATCTATCTTTCTTAAAGACAAAGATCCTTATCATCACTACTTTTAAGACCCTATAGACCTCCTTAGATTCACTGTGCACCAACTCCTCTCTGCTCTCTTCAATTCAGCCAAATGGGTCTGCTTTCAGTCCTTTCAGTCTCTGTTTCCCCATACGGGGCTTTGCATATACTGTTCTTCCTGCTTAGAATCATATTCCCTCCCCTTTTCACCTAGTTAACATTTACCTTTCAGATCTCTGCTTAATCATCACTTTCTCAGGAATGCTTTCATTGACTTCCCTTTACTAGGTCAAATTTCCCTTACTGTATGATATCTTATATCTCTCTTTTGTAGTCCTTATTACAGCTGCAATTTTATATTTTTTTATACAAGTCTGTTCATATCTAACTTTCCCACCAGCATATAAGTCCCATGAGAATAAGGAACATACACTTGTTCTTACTAATCAAACCCAGTGCCTAGCAGAGGGCTTGGCACATAGTAAAGGACCTGGCACATAACTGTGACAGTTTTCTAAGGCTACACAACAGTAACATGCAAGATCATTAGATAGTGAGACAGGCTCTCCACATAAAGATCAACTGAACTTAAAAATACAAAAATAGTTACCACATACAGGATACTAGTATGTGCTAGGCACTTTATAGATGTTAATCCTCACAACAATCCTGCAGAGCAGAAAGTAGTATCCCTGTTTTAAAGGCATGGAAACTGAGGCACAAATGACTTGTCCAAAGTCATACAACTAGTAAATGACTGAGCTGACCTGGAACCAAGTCTGTATTAAGAACATTTACCACTTTTATTCATACTCCATTTCCTATGCACTCTTCCTCCAAGCATCCCTCATTATAACTGCAACAAACCACTCTTCAACTCAGCAACAAAGACTTCCATTCACATAATGCTCAGAGCAACTTTCACTGGCAGCACAAACACATTTATGCCTTGAAATCTGCCTCTAATGGCTTCCAATTTTTACAATGGTGATACTATCTGTGTACAAATCCATGCCAGGAATAATATAAATACAGAGAGCCTTCAAGCAGATATACTGTTTACTAGTTTGGAAAATCTAGGCTTTTGAAAATTTTTATTCAATATTAACTCTAGATGTATTTTCAGACTCTTTACCAAACTAAATGCAATGACTATATATACACACACATATGTGTACACAAACATAACAGACACAGACACACACAGACTCAGATATATCTCTTTCAATTATATGGGTTCAGATTCGAAGCCCTGATTCACATTTTAATAGATTTACTCATTTTGAAAAAAAATGATATTTTAAAAATTCACGCAGAGAAAACAACAAAGTAAAATAAGATCCAAATTCCACCATCCAGGATATTTTAAGGGCTTTTCCTATTTATATGCATCTATAGGCTAGGCTAGGCTAAGTCGCTTCAGTCGTGTCTGACTCTTTCTGACACTGTGGACCGTAGCCCACCAGGTGTGCCTGTCCATGGGGTTCTCCAGGCAAGAACACTGGAGTGGGTTGTTATGCCCTCCTCCAGGGGATCTTCCCAAGCCAGGGATCAAACCCACATCTCTTACGTCTCCTGCATTGGCAGGTGGGTTCTTTACCACTAGTGCCACCTGGGAAGCCCATGTGCATATATACATGTATCTAATATATATAATTTTACCTAAATACTATATATACTATTCTGTGATCCTATCTTCTTTCCACTCCAGAATGCATTTTGGACATCTTTCTACACTTCAATTGCCATGTACACCTAAGACCAGATGCAATTAACCAGACATCTCATCCATAAACTTAAGACATTTATTATAATAATTAAAGATCTTTAAAATTCTTTTTCATATTGAATACATAAAATAATTTATTGGCTCTGAGAATATTGATCTACCACTAACATAAGATAGCTTTTCCTCGAAATCCAAACTTCTTATACCACAAAAACTGAATTAACCCTTACACCAGATGCTTTCTTTTTTGATCCTTGATGTTTTTTCTTCCAGGTATAATAGCCTAAAACAAGGGTCAGCAATCTACAGCCTGCCAACTCTTTTTGCAAATCAAGTTTTATTGGAACAAAGTCATGCCTACTTGTTTATATACTGTCTATGGCTGTTTTTGCAGCATTGAGTAGCTACAACCCTATGGCTTGAAAATATTTACTAACTGGCTCCTTCCCAGAAAAAGTCTGTGGGCCTCTGCCCTAAAAGATAATTTGCTTGAATACATAATGAATCTAGACAAGGATAAAAGTCTCTATACTGTCAAGTCACGCCACTCTCTCATGGTAATTATAACCATAGACCTATGTGAATCAATTTTTAATGGTTTTAGTTCTCATAAATAGAGTCAGGTATAAACTACTTACTTCATATGCTTTGTTCCAGTTGTCTGTTTCTAGTTTCTGTTGACTCTGTTTAAGTTGGTTTAAACTTGGCTTAATAAGCGAATTTCCTACTGTTTCCTTTGTCCAGTCATCCACCAATTTGTGTAAATCATCTGTGAACATTCCTTTTTTACTAACTGAAGATTGCTGGAATGATGCTGCACTACTTTCCACACACAGTGGACCTATAAGAAGAAAATAAACAGAGAAACCATGAAAAGGAATTAAAACATAAACAAATACTCTTTTGTGGCTGATAATGCAGAACTACCTATTGGGTATAGATAGGGTAACCAGGTATTCTAATTTATCTGGGACAGTTCTGGTTTAAAGCTGTTGTCCTGGTGTTACTACTAACAGTATGCCCTTCACTCTCAAAAGTTTTCTCTTGTTTGGGTGGCAAATTATATGGTCACCTTAGGTATAAGTCAACTATAATAAACAGTATCTCAAAAACATCAGTATCAACTCTATAATCTTTTCATCAGTTTCCTCAAATAGATACTTAGAAGAGTTAAAAAACAATCAGAATGTTAAAAAGTAGAAAGAATCTTAGAATTCTAATCCAAACCACCATTTGTTTTATAATGGGGAAATGTGGCCTAGAAAAAATAAATTGACATGCCTGAGAGCTTGCAATTAGTTACCAGCAGAGCCAGGCCTGGAACTCTAAAGTCTAAATGAGAACTCTCTCTTTTTTCAATATACCATACTGACTTTCAAATTTTTCAGAAAACTAGAATCTCATCTATTTTTTTAAAACAATATTTTTGTTTATATCTAGAATAGCAGAAACAAGGAGGCAGATGGTTTGTTAGTCTCATGAGTTCTAGAGCGCAAGATGTACAAATAGATGAAAGAAATCAAATATAGATGTCTCCATCAATGAAGAAGTCTCCTAATCTGAACATCATAGTAAGTCTTTAATTTAGTACTCTAACACAAGCTAACTAAATCATTCTCATAAAAAAGATTCATAAAATTCCTCTGACTGATTTACGAGTCAAAACTTACAAAGTGGGTCTAAAATGAGTTTTAGGAAATGCAGTAGTGAAATTTAAGCACAATAACACTTCCAGGGATTTAATTAAATACATAAGTGACAAAATCTTGTACAATTGTTATGTTACTTTTTTTAATTGTGAAAAACTATTTAAAATGTAAGAGATAAGGCAAGAACCTCCATATTAACAGTTTCAAAGTACTTTTATATTCTTTGAAACTCATAACAGGGCCAGGGCCATGATATAGGTTCAGCAGGTTATCATTCTATTTTGGGGATGGGAAGACTAGAATCCAGAGGGTAAACAGCTGAGGTTATATGCTGGGGTTAGAACCAAGTATCCTCATTGTTTTGTCAATGTGCTTTCCATTATACCATGCCAACCCCATGCCTTTTCCCATGGGAAAAGGATAAGAAAATTCTTTAATAAGGAGGGACATAATAATCTAAATGATTGTTTATACATAGTCTATCATTCTCTATGACTGCTGAGCTACTGAAGGCTTAGATTCAAGGATATTAAAAATTAAATGGACACAGGGAACTATATTCAATATCCTGTGACAAACCTTAATGGAAAAGAATATGAAAAACTCTCTATATATATATGTATTTATGTATGTATAGCTGAGTCACTTTGCTGTAGAGAAGAAATTAACACAGCTGCTGCTGCTGCTGCTAAGTTGCTTCAGTCGTGTCCGACTCCGTGCGACCCCATAGACGGCAGCCCAGCAGGCTCCGCTGTCCCTGGGATTCTCCAGGCAAGAACACTGGAGTGGGTTGCCATTTCCTTCTCCAATTAACACAGCATTGTAAATCAGATCAACTACACTTCAGTAAAATTTAAAAGCAAACAAACAAAAAAGCAATGGAGTCTGAGGACAGACCAAGAGGAGCTTAGAGACATAAGTAAATATCAGGTGGTATCCTGGATGGGATCCTAGAACAGAAAAATAATTTATGTAAAAACTAAGGAAATTAAAGTATGGACTTTTGTTAATAAAAAACTAAATGCAAACATATTAGTGAAAATTGCTTAAAAAGAGCTTAATGAAATAAGTGGAACGAACATATTCTCATATTCAAAACAGTTTCACAAAATTAATTTACTAATGTTGGGCAACCATGGTGTACTAAAACGATGTACCCATCTTGTTGGAATTCCTACTTTTCTAAGTTTTAAAACCCAAGAACATACAAGTCAGCCTATAGTAAAAGTATCATTTTTTCCTGTTTTCCCTCTGCACATTCATCTGATTCTCTGCCAACTCAAGTGAGCAAACAAATAGCACAACAATATTGGGGAAGACTTTGGAGCTGAAGCCTTTTATAGATTGTGTTCTTACCCTGGAAAAATGTCAGCAGGTAGGAATAAAAAGGAGACAACAGCCAGAAACATATACATATTATCATTCTATTCATATCATAATAGTCTATACATATATATATATTCTATACATATACCATAATCTTCTACACATGTTATCAAGTGCCAGCATTTCTGCCCACACAGCTAATCTGAAGTATTATTTCTGTGCTCATTCCCCTTTAGTTTCTATTAAAAAAAACATGTTACAAAGAGCTAAGTTTGAATGTCATTCATTTACGAACATTTCTGTACTAATGGAAAACCCAGTGTCAGGATTTTTCTTGTGTACAAATCTGGTGGAACGAGTGATCTTGAGCACTCAACTGGTGGCCAGTGATGACTGCTACACTAATGGTACAATTGCCAACAAGTGGAGGACATATTTATTTATTTATTTTTATTGAGGAAACATTGATCTACAACATTATATGTTTCATATATACAACACTGTATTTCTACTTCTATATACCTTACTAAATGTTGTTCAGTGCCTAACTATGTTTTACACATGGAAGGAACATTTATTGATTGATTTCATTTAAAAGTTATTCATATCATATTAAAGTTCACAAACCAGAAATTACCCAACCAATGCACATTAAAAGAAATACACTTCAAATGTGTTTTATGATAGTAACATAACTTGTTAACTTCAAAAGTGCTCTTTTAATATTGATTTCTTATTGATGAAATGAGTAAAGTCAGAGTTTAGTCCTTAGTGTTCTTTTTTGTTTTTTCCCCAAGTTAATTCCTACATTCAGGTAGTTCCAGTAATCACCCAACTGCAAATGTTTCCATCTCTTTACCTCAAATCTTGATCTTTCTTCAATCCAACCTCACACCCAACTCCCAAATGTATTTCTCCAATTCAATTTCAATAAATTGTTCAAGTAAATACACCTATCATTGTGTTAGTGACAGTTTGCCTAAATGGTGTACTTCTGTTAAAGATACCACATTTTCTCCACTCAGACTAAGACCCTTTGAATCTCCCCACAAACACACACATATCCAGTTTATTGCCACATCAGAGCAATTCATCCTATACGACATCTCTTATCTATTTTCACTCCCATAATTCTCTAAACTCTTAATTATCTCATACATGAACTGCTATGATGGCAGTGATCTTAAATAGATTGACTCCCTGGGTCAAGCTAACACTGTTCACAATGCCATCAGATTAGTACCAGTTAAATGCTGTTTTCAGCATTTCATTCCTCTGCTCAAAGAAAACCCCTCAAACCCAAACTTTAATAGTTTCTTAGAACCAACAATAGTGGGTTTTCAACTTGTTTTGGTGGCAAAGTCCTTGGTAGTCATGATTATCTTTGCAGAGCATGCAAACATACATTATCTTATTTATTATCCTTAAACATTATATCATTAAGCTTAAATACAAAATAAAGTGCTAGATTAGATAGATTATCTTACATCAAACTACAGCAATTTTTTTAAAGTGTGGGGAAAAAACCTTCTAATGTAAAGCCCTCCATTTAACTCAACTGTTATATTCTCTTTCTCCCAAATAAATCTTTAAGAGTTTATGATTTGCATTTCTTTATATCATGCAGTTCTACCTACGGACAATACTCTTCACACTCCACTTCATCAATTTTAATCCAGTCCATTTACCTTTCAACACCAACTCAAATCCTATTTCCTGAATGAAGCAGTCTCAGACCACTATTGCCTTTAGATGATCTCCTGTTTCTTCCTTTCAATCCAGTGCAGACACAATTTCTGGTATTGAGAGGCAATGCAATATAACAGTGAAGAACCAAAGCTTCGGAGTCAGATCTGCTCAACCCCATTAACTTTAGTCTCCTCTGTAAGGACAGCCTTACTTCTAACTAGTTGAGAGATGTTTTGAGGATTGAGATTAGGTAATGTGATTATGTTTCAGGGCTCCCAAGACCACTCACAGATTCAGTGATTCAACAGAAGGTTTTACAGGACTCAGCATATAGTTGTATTCACAGATGAGTTTACTAGAGCAAAAGGATGCAAAATAAGATCAGCAAGGGAAAAACGCACAGGAATCTAGAGAAATTCATGCACAGACTTCGTTATGCTCTCTTCCTCAGGTGAGGGAGCATTCTTGAGTATGCTTCTTTCTCTAAGCAACAAAAAATACAGCAACATATGGGTAAGTATCTGGCCAGGGAAGACCAACAGAGACTCAGGTTTTTGTTGAGACTCAGGTCAAATAAGCACCTTTTGCCTAGCATGAACCAGAATATCAGACTCTAAAAAGTCTTTATTCAGCATAAATCACATAATTTGTACCAACAACCTAGGTAAAGTGAACTATACTTATCAGGGAAGAAAGGGAAACCAAATTCCTACACAACAGCCAAAGTCCAACCTTGGAAACAGACATTCCTAAAAACAGCAGTCTTCTACCTACTATATTAACTCTTTTCAGCATACTTTAGCACAGTGCTGACATTCAATATTATAAGTTAACCACACACCTACATTGTAAATACCATTACACTGCAATATGCATCGCTTCATGTTTCTCAAAATAGGTATAATTCTGGACAGACAAAGATGGATATGGATCTTAGTACATATGTTAAGGCAGTGCTTCGTAAAATGTATTCTGTGAAAAGTGGGTTCTCTGGTAAAACTGTTCAAGGAAATGTACATTTATTTCATTTCTTGAAAATTCTCAATACATATTAGCAAATTAAAGGATCTAAGAGGTTCTACAGAGGAAAAATGATTTTTATATGATTGACTCCAACATTTCCTATTTGACCATGCAACACCTATTAACTCCTTGTTGACAGCTTATAAAATGCTGT